CATCGCTTCTTCCAATTGGTCAGCATAGCTTATTCAGGTTGGTCAGCATTGTTTATTCCAATTGGTCAGCATAGCTTATTCAGGTTGGTCAGCATTGTTTATTCCAATTGGTCAGCATCGCTTATTCAGGTTGGTCAGCATTGTTTATTCCCATTGGTCAGCATCGCTATACCGATTGGTCAGCATTGCTTATTCTTATTGGTCAGCATAGCTACAGATTGGTCAGCATTGTGTATTTCAATTGGTCAGCATCGCTTATTCCGATTGGTCAGGATCGCCTATTACGAGTGGTCAGCATCGCTTATTCCGAGTTGTCAGGATAGCTTATTCCGATTGGTCAGAATCGCTTATTCCGAGTGGTCAGGTTTGCTCATTCCGATTGGTCAGCATGGCTTATTCAGATTGGTAAGCGTTGTTTATTCCAATTGGTCAGCATTGTTTATTCCGATTGGTCAGCATCGCTTATTCAGATTGGTCAGCAACGTTTATTCCAATTGGTCAGCATCGTTTATTCCCATAGGTCAGCATCGCTTATTCAGATTGTTCAGCATCTTATTCAGATTGCTCAGCATAGCTTATTCCAATTGGTCAGCATAGCTTATTCCAATTGGTCAGCATAGCTTATTCCGATACATTAGCATGGCTTATTCTGATTGGTCAGCATTGTTTATTTCCATTGGTCAGCATCGCTTATTCAGATTGGTCAGGATCGCTTATTCTGATTGGTCACCATTGTTTATTCCAATTGGTCAGCATGGCTTATTCCAATTGGTCAGCATGGCTTATTCCAATTGGTCAGCATGGCTTATTCTGATTGGTTCGGATGAATCAAAAAAGATTTTCTTTCATTGTAAAGATTTTCCATTAAACTGACGTCTTTTATTAAGATGTTAATTATCATTGTTCCCATTGTTTAATATCAGCTTTTATCTTTCAGCCCAGAATCCCATGAAGAAAACAACCAATAACAATAAATATAGACCCCCCTCCTCCTCCTCCTGGTCCTCCTCCTCCTCCTCAGTGTGCGCTTTAAAACAGTGGCGGATTTCTCCTCCAGCAGGCAGAGCAGAGAGGAAGCAGCCTCCCTCATCTTCTCCTCCCTGGGCAGCCTGACCAGAACCTCCTCCTCTTCACCCCCGGTAGGTTCCTGCAGCCTCCTGTCTGTCTGTCTGTCTGTCTGTCTGTGGGGAACACCGCAGAGGTTCGCGCTGCGTGGCCGTGATTTCTCCTCGTGTCTGCGCTTCCCTTCAGAAGCTGTGTCCACGCGTGGAAAGCTGCGGGTTTTCCTATGAAGGAGCGAAAGGTTGGAAAGTTTGGATGCAGTTCAGCTGATAGGAACATGGACATCATTTTGTTAAGATGCAGGAAGATTTCTGATGTAATAAATCATTCAATAAAAGCAATGAAGCGTTAAAATACCTTCTAATGTTTTATAAAAGATTATTTTTGCTATTTGGAGGATAGATTCTCCTGATCAGCGCCGTTTTTAAGAGATTCAAACTTATAAACTATTCGCACCCTTTTACCTGAAGTATGGTATTTTTATGATCATTTATTTTCATTTTCTAACTGCTTTGGATGATTAATGGATTGTTAATCTAATCAAATGAATTTTTCAAACGTTGATAAACTAGTTCTAATAGTTCTGACCTTATCTGATAGGATGGAGAGTAGAAAAATATAAAATAGATCAATGAAAGACGGAGAACAACATCTGATCACCATATTTCTGTGACAGAAACCTGAAGCTGGGATTAATTGATAACCTGCAGACTGGGATTACCAGGATGGAACATTAATCTGTGAAAATTACAGCAATAATCCCAAAAGAAAAATAACTAAACTAAACTCATCAGCAGCAACAGAAACAACAACAACAACAATAATAATAATAATAATAATAATAATAATAATAAAAGCCAATCTGTTTCAGATGAGAGATGTTTTAAACTCTGATTCAGGTAAAAGGCTCACCTCTTTCCTTTACAAGATGAAACATTTTCTGAGAAAGTTCTCAGTCTGTCCATATATATATATATATATATATATATATATAAATATATTTTATTGATAGTTACCTTCATATGAAAGGTTATATGAAAGGTTTTGGTGGTAATAAAAAAAAAAAATCTAAAGCTCCTATAATAATAAGGGGTCTTAGAGATGTTTAATCCAGGTTTGTCAGATTTCTGCATAATAAACAAAGAGGAAAATGAAATCAGAGTTTGGATCCAAATCTGCTTTCTGACAGCAGCCGAGCGAAACCCTCAGAAACGGATCCAAAGACGCTGCAGGACTCCAACACACACCTTATTTTCTCTCATTCCAGAAACAGTTCAGATGAAAACAATTAAAGATGATGCATCAGATAAAATGATCAGAAGATGAATCCTAATTGAGCGACATCTTTGCTAAATGTAATGAAAAGGATCAGATATACAGTGATTAGATGTATAAACGCTGGCTAAGGGATGCAGATGAAGTCACACATTCAGTTCACAGCGCAGCCGTTATCTTCTCAGACGCAGACGGATCTGCACAGCAAACAGAAACAGGATGGAGTCCTGCATCGTTATACGCATTAATATGAGAGCCGCTCAGGAGAAGAATTCCTTTAAAAATGTGATGCAGAGGAGGATGAAGAGCAGCAGAAAGAAGCCTTGTTTATTATCCGCGTTTATTTAACAGGTCAGGTAGCCAGGTCTCAGTGGCTAACAGGTCAGCTAGCCAGGTCTCAGTTGCTAACAGGTCAGCTAGCCAGGTCTCAGTGGCTAACAGGTCAGGTAGCCAGGTCTCAGTGGCTAACAGGTCAGCTAGCCAGGTCTCAGTGGCTAACAGGTCAGCTAGCCAGGTCTCAGTTGCTAACAGGTCAGCTAGCCAGGTCTCAGTGGCTAACAGGTCAGGAAGCCAGGTCTCAGTTGCTAACAGGTCAGCAAGCAGGGTCTCAGTGGCTAACAGGTCAGCTAGCCAGGTCTCAGTGGCTAGCAGGTCAGGTAGCCAGGTCTCAGTTGC